AGAGTGGATTAGCGATTTGTCAATTTCCTGTTACCTTTCAGAGCTGCAACTTGAGCCCCATTTGCTCCTGGCTCCTGGATGATAGCAAACAATAGGAGGCCTCTTTTTTTCAGGCTCCACTAAAGCTCCTGTACGAGCAAGGGTGGTAGCAGAGATCTAAACTGTATTCAGGAGGCAGTGAACAGGAAGACAGTGTTTACTTGATATTTTCCAGCCTAGGCCAAATAAGGAAACAGATCCTACTCCCACCATTTCTAAAACTTGGTTCTGTTAAGTCTTTAACAAATCTCTGATCTAATTGGCAGAGGTGTCTAGACTAACATTTTAAGGCCCATTGAATAGTTTCTTTCTCTTTTCACTTACTCTGCCATGTGAACTGCTTTCCCACTCCTTCACATTTTACTCATCACAGGGCTACCGCTCACTGCATAAAAAGTGAAATTTGATTCAGTATTAAGTAATAACTGGTCGTCCCCCCCCCCCCCTTTCGTAATGCTATTTGGAGTTGTCAGGCTTGCTGGGTCGCTTGCTACAGCTTTGGGTCTTTTTTTGGGGCCATACAAGTGCAAACATGCATGACTACCAAGTGAGTCATGGTGGAACCTCCAACCCACACATCCTACCGGGGCAGTCCTTTTCTTAGCCAGGGCACTGCATGGCCCTGGTGGAGCAGGATACTCTATAAACAGTCATCCTCCTCCACAGCACTCATCACCAAAAGGCCTGCTTCAGTTTTCCTCTGCCTCCTCATCTGGTTTTCATTATTTCCTCTCATGGCATATAAATAGAAATTAGCAATCAGGGGAAACGTGGGGGTGGTGGGTTCTGGAGTGGAAGGCAGCTTTTTTGGACTTCAGCGTGATGACCAAAGTTTATGGAAGTTATCTCCACAGATATTTGTTTTGGGATGAACTTAGTGGGCTAAAGGGACATGAGAGATAATATGTTTAAAACTTCTCCAACATCCACACTGCAGGATTAAAATGACATTAAAGAAATATTAGATAGCCATAAAACACATGAGTTCAGGTCCTGATAAAGTCACTACTACAATTCACTATGACCAGAATACCAGAAAAATACTGCTGTTGTCGATGTGAAACCTTGGATTTCCAAAATGTAAACATCTTAGTAAACAAGAAAAGCGGCCTTGTGTTTGCAATGACCACCAGAGTTTATATAACAAGTTTTGAAAGGATTTGGTTTGGAGAGTTTTCTCAACATGCAGTCTCCTGAACTTAGAGATTTGATATTTTCACCCAACAAAAATGATATAAAGACATTTTTGTCGCAATGCTTTGAGCAACACAACTTTAAATTTCACCTCCCTGAGCATGGGTGGATGCAGAAATCTTTGAAACAAATAACACAACACAACCAAAACAGTAACTAGGCAGATAAGAGACATTGTGTTTTTTTATACTGTGCATATAGAAAACAACATGGAGCAGCTGCTGGCTGCTTCCTGTTTGTGAGCCAAGTTCTGTGTCAGAGCACTGAAAGCCATTTAACCGGCCTCTTTCTTCCTCAGGAGCCATAAAAGGCCTGTGGCAAGACCCCGTGCTTTATCAGGTGTCGAGGGCTATTCAGGATGGAGGTGTTTCACTGCGGCTTGAGCATCTTAAGCTTTTGCTCCTGGGTACACACACCCATTTAGTGTAAAACTTTCACACCCCTTCTTACTACTAGCTATCTGATACAACATTCGTCTCCAAGCCCCCTTCCTGTCTCCTGTCTTTGTCTTCCATTATATGGACAAAGACCAATTGTAGGGGATGATGATGAAAATGATGAAGAAGGAGGAAGTCAAGGGATCAATACACAACCCTTGGCAGTTAGTCTTCTTTTGTAATTAATGGCCAGGTGTTATTTGGGGTACAGACAAGATTTTTTCCTGATCACTGGCTCCTGTTTCATCAGTGTGATAGATTCATCAGTATTCAAAGTGTCACTTCCTTCCTGCAAAATTAGTGCAAAAGCCTTTGCCAGCTCTCCCAGGCCCCAGTGGTCTAGCTTGTGATTTTGTATTCTGCTCGCTAATTAAATCAGTGGGGTGTTTGTCTCAGCGTTGCTCTTATTGAAAACTGTTGCTGGAAACTGCCAGTTGTCAAGGGTAGTTAGATTTGATCCCCATATACACTTTGAATGGTTCAGGAGATCTTGAAAGATTGTGGTTTATTAAGGGGATATTTCAACATGGCAACAACATCAGAGAATGACAAAAAAACTGAGACTGTGTTTCACAAAAATCACCTCTTCAAATAAAAAAAAAAAATGTTGACAGTCCAGAAGAATCCAAACCCAGGTTGAAGAAGATCTCTGATACAAGCGGGGTTCCCTGTTAACCCAGAGCTGGTTTAACATCTGACAAGAGCACATCCTTGTTCCTCTTTTGAAAGCCCCAGGGGACAGTTTCTTGTGCTTGCTGCATTCCCAGCGCCCTACAACCACTTTTGTTCTGTTTTTAACTTTGGTATCTCTACTAAGGACAACAACAAGCATCACAAATGCACATTTGATAGCTAGAATGATGTAGATAGCTATATTGATAAATCTGTGTACATGTTTATGAGAAGGAAGAGGAAGCTTGAGCTTTCATCATCCTTTTTTCCTCCCCCTTCATTCGCTTTTTTTTTTTGAGATTAGACTATGCATCCAGACAGATGGTTCCCGTCTGCTGGCTTTTTTCAATTCACTTCCTCTGCTTGCAGACAGCCACCCCTCCCCCCACTCCTCTCTCGCTCTTCCTCCCTTCTCCGCTCCAACGGCTCCTCTGTTATGTGGCTGGAAATAATCTTTTATTGCCCAGTTGTTCGGAAGTGACCTCCTGCCCTTGATTAGATAGGGCCAAGTCCTATCACACAATTGTGTTTGAGCTAGCGGGCCGACCCCCCCACCCTGTAACCCATACACACACACACACACACACACACACATGCATCATTCACACTATACTCACCCTCTCCCACAGCAGCCCCATCCTTACTTCATGCCCCCCCTTCTGTCACTGCTGGGGCTTTGGTGATCCTGTGTGAGGGGACAACAATGGGGGGCTTTAGTCTCGTCCGGCTCTTCTCTGCTGGGGGGCAACAGGATGGGGGTCATGAAGGACTTTTTTTCCATTAGTCAGTCAGCCACTGGGTGGAAGTTTCAACCCTCCCTCCCTCCAAAGCCTCCATCACATCCCCAGTACGATAGCTAACCTCCCAGTTGCCAGTTTGCTCACCCTTCGACCCTCCAAACCCTCCTTTCTCTCCTGATGTCCTCCCACCCTTGAGAGCCTCCCCAGACATAGATAAATAGACTTTAATCTCCTCCACTATCAGTGGACCTTTGAGTCTGCTGTGTGGTCTGCTGACAGGTGGGCTCACTGGGATGTTTTGGCCTACATGAATCTTTGGATTTTGAACCTCTTTAAGACCTACTGTATAGTCAATGTTCAGGTCTGGTCTGAGAGAGAGGCAGACTCAAAAGTCTTTTTCTTTTATATTTTCTAATCAGCTTGGGGTCAGTTTTGGGACCATAAAATATTTGAATCTGCCTGAATTTCCTATTGAATCAAAATGGCAGGTCAGAGCGTTGCTAAAATATTTTGACAAAGCATTTGATTTTTTTCCTAAATGTTATACCTTAGACTTAGACCTTATACCTTTGGTAAACCCCCCCCCCCCCTCCTTTTTTGGTTCTAGTG